TTTCTGAATTTGAGGTTAATATTGTGTTCTGCCTTATGAAAATCCAATAAGTTTATGCTCTATTTTCCTTAACTTTGTAGTTTTTTAGCTGTGGCATCGGCATAATCACCTTTATTTTAATTAGATTCTTAAGCTTTTCCATTGCTAGAGAGGGAAATATTGGTAACCCCAGGAAAAACCATTAATAGGCATTGCTTAATGCTCTAATTTTGTATGTTTATACGCCTAGTTTTCAACATCTTTCGTTTTCCTACAAACGCCCTACTGCATCTAATTTAATTAATCATGAGTAAAATTATTTACCAAAAGTGTGCAATAAATTATTTAGGAAAGAAAATAAAAAAATACGCTTTCCTAATTATTGACTGAATGTTTTAGCAACCTTATCTGTTATCGACATTTTGCTCTATTCGCTTCACTCTACCAATGAGTAAACCTTTGAACTGTTCATTGATTCGCCAGTAAAGTTAACAATTGCGTTTGTGGTAGTTAAGTTTGTAGAGGAATGAGGAACTTGCTTCAGCCTAAACGTGCATCCCTCTAACCAACCTTCTTCAAGACAGAATTTGTTTGTAGTTGATTCTTTAGGTATTCATGTTCTTTTGCACACACTTTGCATTTGCAGACACATCTTTTGAGCTATTTTAGACTAAAATGCCAGAAGTGCACTTTACTCTCTCTTGAAAATTAAATATTGATCACTCATGCTTTTTTTATTTAATTTAATGCCTGACAAGGCAACCTGCTCCTGTGTGGTAAAGCAAATGAATGTGTTTAACAGTTGGGGGAGCCGAAGACGTCGAGATCAAAGTCAAGGCATCAACGAATTTTACTTCAACTAATTTTGGATCCAAAGCAAATTCACGTTCACGATTTCCAATGATTGCGATGGCTCGTTTAGAAATTTTTAGTCATTCATCGATATCCCAAGGCCGTGGAAATGGGAAAAAAATCTTCCATGATCTTTTATATCAGACCTTGGATTGGCAAAATTAACAAGTTAGTTCATTTCGAGATCAATAATTAGCTCCTACTAAAGAATGTGCAAAAGACCTCCTATTTGACAGCAACAATACTCTTTACGACCAACAGTATTTTGCAGGAACTTTCGTAATCAGTAAATCAGAAAATAAGATTTGTCTGACACTGACATAGGAATTAAAGGGGGATGTTCAAAATGGAAACATTAATTAATTAATTAATTAATATCAAATGGCAGGCGTTTTGATAGTTATCATTAGCCCTCAGTTGACTTTGACCTTCACAGAGAGGAGGAGGAACATCAAAGTAAGAAAAAGTATAGTGGGGACAGAAGAATGATTCACAAATATAAAAGTGACAGGCAGACACAAAGGTAGAGAGAAAAGGAAAGGTGAGTACTGTGGAAGTGGTCAAAAGTGACATACAATTGGATCATGGCGGTTTGAAGTCAGATGTATGAGTATACGTTCCCCAGGGTGCACAAATAATACAGAAAAACCTGGTTTCGTTGCATATATAATTAGGGTGTTTAACCGTAGTCACCTGATGCTCCTCCAGGTTTCGGTTTGAATTTCGCACATTTTAGTATCTTTGACTTATGCTTATTTTTCATACTATATTTTATATTGTGTGTGTGGTTGTATGTGATGATTTTGTTCGAATTTTATCATTCATAAATAAACTGGTGGCAAACTTGTGACAACTCACACAAACACGTGTATCCAATACCACAGGGGCTTGTGGCGGCGCAACACTCGGCAACTGCATTTCAAGCTCAGGGAGGTAGACGAAGCATGTGCTGACCCATTTTCTGATCCCTCTAGTTGTCGGTCAACCACTGAACAAGAGTCTTAAAAGCTGGAGTTGGTGGGGGGGGGGGGGGGGAGGAGGTGTCAGAGGGGGTTGTTGGACGTACCTGCCTGGATGAGTAACTTCAGTTTGCGTGTCTACTTGAATGTGGGGGTGGCCAACAGCAGTGCCAGTCTTCATCACACCGTCAGCACAGCAGCCATTAACAATCTTGCGCGATGATTTTGTTTATCTTAGTAAACTGCTTCCGTGGGGATTTTGCTTGTGAGTGGATGGTGGCAAAATAACATTGTGGGTGGAAAGCAAGTGAATAAATTCATGGGATTATGAAGTCAGTTGTGTCTGTCTAGTAAGTAAAGTCCCAACTAATGCGATTAAAGGATAGATCAATATTTTATAAATTTACTTATATAAAAATTATTTGCTGGATACATGGACTGATATATCAGGTCATTTTTTTGTCCCAATAACGCATCATAGTATGATTTGAAGAAATGGATGAATAAATTTAAAACCCTCGTAAGAAGAAATATAATTCACCAATTCTGAAAATCAGCTCTGAATATTTTCACAAAAGCCCACAACCTCGTAGCGTTAAATATTGGTGGAATCACTGAATTGTCAATCACATCATCAATTTGCGAAATCAGAGTTTACCTATCCTTTTTTTGATGATCCTTTTATTTGTGTCTGTCTGCAATTTCAAAGTTCCAGAAGTTTGAAAGGATTTCATAAATCACATATTAGAATGAAGAGGCCCATTAGTTTATTTAACATATTTATATCAAAATGTACTAAATCGCCATGCATGGGAATGCTATATATATATATATATATATATATATATATATATATATATATATATATATATATATATATATATATATATATATATATATATATTATACCACATGGCAGGCTTTACGATGGTTATTATTAGGTCTTTAGTTGACTCCAGACTTCACAGAGGGGAGGAACATCAAAGTCACAGAAAGTGGAGAGAGGGAACGGAAGAGTGAATCACAGTTGTAAAAGAGAAACAGACGCAAAGACAGATAAAAAGGTAAAGTGAGGTGAATACTAAGGAAGTGGTGAAATATGGCATACAATGGAGTCATGGTAGTTTGAAGTCAGAAGTCAACTGCCGGTTTATTGACTTGTTTGCCGTATGAGTATTCGTTGCCCAGTGCGAACCACGTGGAGGTATGTCTATCGAGCACACCTGCTTATTTAAAATAAAAAGATTATATGATTATCCCATCTGTGTGTTACGATGATTAATTAGAAGTCTCATAAGCCACCCACACACACAAACTTGGTGCTTCTATTGGATCCTAACAATGTATTTCTGAGAGTCCCCAAACCCCACCCCCACTCCAAAAGACACCTGTTAGCTATGGAAAACACTTTTGTATGAATCTTTTTCCCGTTATTGAATTCTGTATTTTATAACATTTACTATCTATTTACATTTAGGAATTAAATAATGAATTTAAATAAAAATCACAAATTTGATCTAACAGATAATTCTTAATTTATGAAAAAAATAGTATTTTCGTATTCAATGTGGCGTTAGATACGAAATAAAAAGCGATGAAAACTCCTTCGAAATTGATCATTTTTACATTTTTAAATAGAACCCACCACTTACTCCTTGATACTATGTCAGATTAATATAAATGTTTCAACTACTTTGCTAAACAATGAAATAAGTATGTCATTGAGTAACTTTAGTAATATTGTTCCTATCTCAAAAATTTATAATTTAAAGGACCAATTTATGAATCGGGTTGAGTGACTTCAAAAATTCGTCTGTGTCAATTAAAACGAAAAAGTTAATTAGGAAAGTAAACACATGAACAAAGAAGGGTCCAACTGTGAACTCTTATTAAGACCTTCCTATAAGCAGGTGTTGAGGAATCAGACGTCTAAAGGGGGTGACATTGTCGACTTTAGAATCCACTGAATGAGTGCAAACAGCCTCGCATCCAGGTCATCGGGGTGTGTGTGTGTGTGTGTGTGTCCAATATCAGAAAGAAAGGATTTTTATGAGCAAGAGTGACTCCTTTGTCGGCTCTTTCAACGCTTCTCACCTAAAGTCTTCAGCAGGTGTTGCGCCAATCTCAGTGGCGACAATTCTAACATATCGCCACTCCGAACAACTCAGTTGACGCCATTTGTGATGCGTATTTTGCAAGCACAAAGGAGACTAAGATTTGAAAAAAATTCACTCAACGTTGCTTACTCTTTTTGTGAATCTTTACTGGTTGAAGTGGGTCTGGGAAATACCGAATTAACTTAGATTGCAGAGCTGTTCGGATCGGCATTTAATCTGTACCAATTTCAAATCAAGTTAAGTTTCAATATATATTTATATATAATGGCAGGCGTTTTGATAGTCATCATTAGCCCTTTAGTTGACTTCAGGCTTCACAGAGAGGAAGGTACATCGAAATAAATAAGTCTAGAGGGTGGGGGGGGGGGGGGGGGGGGGGGGTGGAACAGAAGATTGTTTCAAAGATGGAAAAGAGATAGACACAAAGGTAGAAAAAAGCGGAGTGAGTACTGTGAAAGTAGTTGAATATGGCATACAGTGGGGTGATAGTAGTTAGAAGTGAGTAATCAACTGTCAGTTAATAGACTTTTTTGCCGTATGAATATACGTTGCCCAGAGTGCACCACGTGGAGGTAAGTCTATCGCACACCCCCAAGTTTCAATATGTATAATTAAATCGAAACATCAAAACTGTTTGGTTTTCGAAGTTTGCACTGGTGAAATCAGGAAGGATAGACCGAAGCATGAATGCTACCTAATTGATACACTCAACAGGCGGTATATGAGTTTCATTGTAATATATTCACCGAGAGGAGAAAACGTGGATTGGGGGATTTTCTCATCTCCTGAAAATCGATATACGCATTGTGGTTTGGAGCATTTTGCTTTCTGGTTAGTCAATAATTGCGGCACACAACACAATGACAGGGTCGAGTAAATTTGATTGGGTCGCCTAACAGTGGGGAGGGGGGGGGGTCACACATTAGGATTAGCAACATACACCAATAGCGAACTTCCCTTGAAATTAAGCGGAATAATGGTCAATAAAGTGACAACGAATAAGACAGTGTTTAAATGCATATATTATTAATATTAATTAAAATAAATATAGCTGAGAAAACAAGGTATTTCAAAAGTTAATGTCCAAGGCCTTTTACGAATTTTGATTGGGATTTGAGACATCTCCTTTTTCATGTTCTCCGTCCTTTGCAGTTTCAGAAACAGCAGCGTCAGTGACGGCAGCAGCAGCAGCAACAGGACTTTTGGGTTTCGATGAAGAGGGCTTTGGTGAATCTTCATTAATTTTCTTCCCCTGTTGTTGGTTCATTATTCTCTCTTGAAGAAAAGTGGTAAAGTTTTCTGACAGATGTTTTCCAAGCTCGTGAAAAATACACAAAACCTCATCAGGATGTTTCCTTCTACTTGGTGGATAGTTTTTGGTTAGAAATTCAAGAAATAAATCAGTCCATCGAGCCAACTCTTGTTCACTCTGCTTCTCTGCTTCAAGGTGCTTGAACATCATATCATCAACTTTTGTTTTAATGGGGCCTATCAGTTTCAGCTATCATTGAAATCAATTTAAATAATCAAAAATTAATTAACAAGAACAAAAATGAAATCAATAACACAAGACCCTGCATAAAGCTAAATTCGTCCAAAATAATTTTATCTCGTGTAAATTTTAAAAATAACGCCTGGTAAAAAATCAAATTTTGCTATTTTGTTAATTTCTTCTCACCGTAGATAAATATTTGATGATTACTTTTGAACTCAAAACACGCGCCCTCATAAAATACTTCAAGCTACTTTAATCCAAAAAAATTTTAAATATCAAATCTCTTGAAGCTGGCCACAAAATGAGAGGCCAAAAGTTCAATGTCCATCAGTGGACTTCCAGTGAAGAGATTGGCCAGCCACACTCGTTGAGTTTGGCAGAATTCTAGTTTCTCAACATAGAGGCTCAGTTATCATACCCCCCCCCCCCTCCTCCCTCCACCTCCTAGCATATGCGCTGAAAGTCGTTTTCCAAAATTGGATTTGGAAAGTAAATATTAAAAGACTGAAGTGGTACATACGTAGTAATCTGTGAATTCGGGGTCAATATTTTTGTACTCCTTCGGTAATTCATGGTGACCAAATGTGTGCATATCAATAACTATCTGCTGAAATTGTGTTGTGAAGTTCATGTCTTTGCAATTTATACCATTGTAAAGTCGATCGTACCTTTCCTCGTGTTCACCATTCACGGTAAATGTCCACGTTATAGTGCTGTCGGGATAATTAGTCTACAAAGGGGAGAATTCCGCTGTTTCTTTTAAATGGCATATGCATGCAGTAAATAGATAAATAAATAAATAAAAACATATATTACCGGTACTTTGACATCACAAAAACAAGTTTCGTCGGATGAAAGAAATGTGAACGAAAAGCCGTGCGCCCTTTCTGCACAAATTTTAAATCTGCTGAAGGGTAGAGTGTCTAGAATTGCCTTTGCTTTTTCGTATTCTTCTCGAAACTTTCTATTGCCGACCATCCTTTACAGCCTTGACGACAAATTAAGTGACTTCTGGTTGGATAATTTTTAATTTCCAATTCAGGTTCACAAAGCGATTACCAGCAAGATTTGAATAAGAATAAAAGTCTTAATAACCATTCATTGGAGTAAAATTTAACCTCTTACGAATTAGAAATCTTGTGCCTAGCTGTAATCACTTCCAATATCTATTTTTGAATTTGAAAAAAAGAGGCAGGACAACGAATAACAATCAGTAATATTGATAATCAATAAAGCACCTTGACTAGCAGATACATTGCTATTAGGCTATAATTAAGAATAGGACTCTAAGTATTTAAATCTGAGTGTATGGAAATTTTGCATCACTTGGAGGTAAGTCTATCGCACACCCCAATTGCGTTATAATCAAAGCTGGAATATTGGCGAGGCGTTTGAACACCCTTTGCCCGCCAATAAGACATTTTAATGATCCGAAATAAGTGTACCGGAAATCATTAAGATGCCGAGCATTCATGGGCGACTATTCGCTACGCACTTCAAATTGGAGTCAATTTTGGTGGCCATTTTTCCCCGAAAGAGGTAAATCATGGGTGAATGTTCTTTTAACCTTCTACAATATTGCAGTCCAATCAGCGACCAAGTTGGTTTCTGCACTCATTGTCTCTTCTTCCTCCATTTACTTTACTTATCCCCTCAAATGACCCAACGGAGCCGGAGTGTCCATACCAGCCCTCCAGGCGCAGTAAAAGTAGAATCACTATCAAATCAAGAGTTTTGGAAAGCAGAAGAGTGGATGTGTCAACAGAGGTGAAAGGGTTATAACTATGAATGCAAAATTACATTATACGCTTAGTTAATTTTGAAGCCTAAATGTGGGGGGAGGAGGGGAGTATGTGATCACTGCACACTCGAAGTAACAACGAAAAGCAAGGGAAGTGGCCTGATTAACTGGCTTCATACCTGATTACCGGGGTGCGCGATAGACTTACCTCCACGTGGTGCACTCTGGGCAACGTATACTCATACGGCAAAAAAGGCTATTAACTGGCAGTTGACTTCATTCTACCATGATCTGACTGGTTGTCATATTCCACCACTTCCATAGTACTCAATTTACCTTTTTCTCCCTACATCCGTGATTCACTCTTCGTTCCCCTTCCCTTCGAATTTTTGTGGCTTCAGTGTTCTTCCTTTCTGTGAAGCCCGATGTCAACTGAAGACCTAATGATAACTATCATAAAGCCTGCCATTTGTTATAAATAAATATGTAATGCAAGGAAAAAGTGAGAGAAAAAAGTATAATGAGGATGATGCCACTCAATGGATAAGGTCTGAAGAGGATATTGCTTTTGCTTGTTTTCTTTGAGAATTGGGAAAGAAATGAAGTGGATTCTGTGGAATGGTCTTTACTGATACACTGCTATTTGATGCTACATTAGAAAAACTTTCAATCCTGAAATTCTTCTAACTTTTTATCCCACTGATAATTCACGCAATCCCCTTCACCTTACATAAGCATAATAAATCTCTCTGACTTGCAGAAATAATACATAAGCTAGGAAAATTTTATTCGTGATAAAAATACAAAATTATAATTTTATTCAGTGGGAAAGTGGGTTATTTTGTGAAGGGCTAAAGTTCGTGATTGGCAGAATCCTTTTCCGCAAATTTCACACGCGAACGGCTTTTGGGTACTATGAATGTATCTAAAGCAAAAAAATGAAATTAACCAAAGTAAAAGTTAGTGCTACTTAAAATATATAAATTTCGACAAAAAGACAAATTTTTATTATTACTTTTCATGATACAACAGTAAATTTTTCCAAAAATCCTCCATAAATCAAAGTAAGTCGATCTAATGGAGAAAAGATCACTGGAGCTCTATCAAGCTTGAACTTGGACGCACGCTAGTAAACAAATATCTCATTGTTCGAATATCTGGATTTGTCCCCTGTTTCATCATGAGTCTATAAACTCAGCTGTTGTCTTATTGACCACTGAAGAGATTTGGATCCTCTATTAACCATGATGCAATAGTTAAGATACCAAAGGGTAATAATGTCCATCACGCGTTTGTTACAGAAAAACTCATTTTTGGAATCTAATACCTATAAGTGAATGCAAGAAGTTGTGAGCTATTGCCAAGACTTAGTCGAATCCAGAGATTGAAGTCAGATGTCTCTTGCGATATTCAGACCCATTTTTAGGTCCTTTACTGAACCACTTTGCCGGCCACAGTGTTCGAATAAATAAAAGTCAATTTTTAGTAAGTTTGTTCGATTTTGTGGAAGGAATCTTACTTGTGATCTCGTAGATGATCCTGCCTTCGGAATGCCCTCCCGCAGATATCGCAAGGAAATGGTCGTTCGTTCGTATGTGTCCTCTCGTGTATGAGAAGATTGTAGGATTTGGTGAACTCTCGGCGACAGAATCGACAGATGTACTGCTTCTTTGGTCTATTGGAATAAGAATTCAAATTTTGGTTGCACTATTATATTTCATTTATTTACCTTCTTTTTGCAGGCGTGTGCTTTAAAAAGGACGAATTTAGAACATGCAATTTTGTTGAAATGCATCCTTGGCGATCGTTTGAAGCATTCACAGCTTTCGCATCCAAATGATCATCTGAAAATGGGAGGCAAGAGTCGACAAGCTTTCGAAAGTCGAAGTGGTTCACTTCCTCTGAAGTTGGGAAAAAAAGAATATAACTTTTTATATTTGATGAAATTGGCACAGTGACACTTTTCAGAATCTGAATATTTCATTTGGGTCTCCCTCACATACCGCTTCAAATTAAACCAACTAAATTTTGCGCATTTAAATTGTCTGGTCAGGGGGTCATTGTCACCATTTGAGGGGGGGGGGGGCGGGAATCGATGTTTACAAAAATTATTCGTGTGTTTTGCGGAAGTTGTTTATAGGAAGAAATAATTCTCGAAATTATGCGTGAAAAATCCGAGAAGAGATGATTATATAACTTGATTATGGTAGAGAGAGAGGCCAGCCTAGATCTACTCTAACGCCAAACTCTTTATCTATATCCCCTAGTTTAATAGAATTAGTCAGGCCTTTGGTTACTCCCACCAATGGAATTCCATCACTTATTCTTTTGTCTTATATACAAGTACATTGATCTCTGCGCTATGAGCTCATACTTATAGGTTAATTGACGCATTCAACGAACTCTTTATTTGACCTGACGGGGTGTGTGCTAGACTTACCTCCACGTGGTGCATACTGGGCAACGTATACTCATACGGCAAAAAGTCTATTCACTGGCAGTTGACTTCTGACTTCAAAACACCATAACCTCACTGTATGTCATATTCGACTACCTCCATAGTACTCACCTCACCTTTTTCACTCTACCTATGTGTCTGTCTCTTTTACATCTTTGAAATACTCTTCTGTTCCCCTCCCCTCCCCCTCTCGATTTTTTTTCACTTTGATGTTCCTTCTTTTCTGTGAAGCCTGAAGTCAACTTTCAAAATGCCTGCCATTTGATATAAATTATTTGACTTGACTAGTTGACCTCGCACCTACCACTCCTGGGCAAACAAAGCAATTTAACTAGCTGTGCATGACCTACATGCCAACAGTGATGAGGGGAGTTGAAGACATAAACAAACTTTAGAAAAGATCTTGGAACAAAATACTCTCCAACTATGCAAAATCTAATGTTAATTAGGAAAGTTAGCAACGTAAACTATTAATGATGACATTGTATCAAGGGAAGATATTTGATCAAGCCATTGATTTACATTTTTACATAACGTGCATTTTGAAAGTTTTTTATAACGTGAAAATATCAGATAGTCCAGCACAAATCCACTTCTGCAATTGGTTTGGTTGATAAATTTGTCAATTCGATTAACGTAAGTCAACGTTCAAAATGTTTACCCTGCTATTGGACTGTAGTGGAGTATAAATAACCTAAAGTTGTATAACGGACCAAAGAGGCAGATCTATCGGTTAGCAAACTCTTTCTCTTTTCCACATAATCACACGCATTAAACCGGATCCATTTCGTAGAATTTGAATATTAAGGTCTTATGCCCAAAATATTGAAGATTTGAAATTCGATACTCCCACGAATCAAGCACTGAAAGACTTGATTTCGTTCCCCTTCCTTGCTTCATTTCATACTGAACATATGTTCTTAACTATTTATTCCCTGAAAAGTTGTATTTCAAATCTCATGGCCAAGATTTGTGTAGTGATATGAAAGAAGATGAACTTCGTATGCTGATTTCAGCACATTCTGATAAACAATTTTGATTAGTTAAATAGTAACGTAAGTGTAACCTTTTACAATATATTGGGGGGGGGGGGTAGATTTCACTATGTCCTATTAAATTTCAATGAAGCATATTGTTAACTTTTGATGCCGCATAAAACTAAGCCTTAACAAAGAAAAACAGATGAAAAACATACCACTTCGAGAAGTATGGCATATTGGATGGCATGTTTCCTGATAAATCGGTCGATGAAAGGCATATAGCAGTTTCCAAGGTGAAATGCCAATGTTTAAGTTTGACACGATTTGGAGAAGTTCCTGTGGTGGGGGGATGTAGAAAGCGGGTGGATGGATCAGAGAACGCTGAATGATCTGATTCCAGTTGTTCGTCATTTGAAATTTTAATGTAACTCTAAGACGAAATGTGATTTCATAATTAATGGGATGATGCTAATAGGTCAATGTGACACGGAAGTGCGCCGATTGGTAGCTTCCAGCGACAGTATCTCGCGCTCGACACTGATTGGCCATTAGCCGGTCTGCAAGTGGTTCTACAAGTTTAAAAAGGAAACATATTTGCAAAATGTGTCTCTCCTTTAAAAGCTTTTACGTTTTTATTATTTTGATAAATTTAGAATTCACTTTTAAAAGAAAAACTTATTAATTCTATTAAAAGTAAGATTTTGACTGCAGAATAATAGTTACATAATTATGATTCTCTTCAACTGAAGATCTGTTTCTAAAAAGTTAAGTTATTGAGTTCCACTTACAGACATTTCTCATCTGTGCGCATTTTGTTTAATTTCGCGATTTTAAAACTTGGTAAATGGACTTGTTGCTTAGTTACATTTAGGAAAATCATCGATTTGAAGCTAACAAACTAGATTCAATTGAGAACTATGCGAATTGGTCAATAGGAGCTGTCTAAATTTTACCAATAATAAAGAAATTTAAATTTTAACATATTAATAAGGAATTTGAAAATAGGATTCGTTTCTCTTTAATTAGTCAGCAATTTAAAGCCCTGCTCTCTAAGGTCTAGTCAGATTCCTCTTTACTTCGACCTTTTCACGGTAAATCACTGCAAAATTTCGTTCATTAATTAAATGCAAAATCTTTTTTTATTGAAATGAACGATTTTAGAGAATATTTAAAATAAAATGCACAAACAAAAGCCGGTGGCAACAAAGTGGCCTCAGTGTAATAAATTGGGGTTGATGCCAAATTGTCATTTTAGTACGTAATTTGTAATGTGGCAATTTCAGTAATGACCATTTGCTACTTGGACCATTTTTTCGCCCAGAGAAGAAGACTTTCATATTCAGAACTCCATGAACCTTAAGCGGTAATGCCATTTTATCGATAATATCGGGTTTTTTTGTCAAGATTCGCTTGACAGGTTATTTCTATCACGAGAATTACAAAAGTTGACATTTTGATTGATTTAAGTTTTAATTGGCATGAGGCATTAACGACTGCTCTAACTTTATAAAGTTTTAGTTGCTGACGTGGCTGTAATGTCAGATAAAGTATCATGAACCGCGGAGCAAAATTTTCATAAATGAAACTCAAAGTTTTAACATTTAGCGAAGTGAGTGTAGATATATATGGGGTGTGCGATAGACTTACCTCCGCGTGGTGCACCCTGGGCAACGTATACTCTTACGGCAAAAATGTCTATCAAACGACAGTTTACTTCTGACTTCAAAGAGCCATGATCCCATTGTATGTCATATTCGACTACTTCCACAGTATTCCCCTCACCTTTTTTTTCTACCTTTTCCATCTTCCTCTTTGAAACACTCTATATTTCAACTGTCAAAATTTTAGGGGCAGATATGAGAGACACAACAGTCCACAGACAAACAAAACACCTGAGGATGCGGGTGATGCAACACATAGCAACCCCTTTCAAACAAAAATTGCTACATGTGGGACTCAAAAGGGGAAATAAGTGGTGCACGGTCCCATTTTGTAACCACTGTAGTTGACAACACAGCATTCGCAATTCTCGTCTCACTGGGCAGATTGTCGGCCCCTCTGAACGGCAATGCTGAAGGGCTGTCAGTGGGAATTGTGAAGTGGTGACAGCTTACCCACTTACACATACAATCTCCAGATACGTGTTATGTAGCACATGGTAACCACTGAAGTAGCAACCCGTGAGAATTGAAGGTGGGTGGGTGGGT